AAATCAATTGAGTGGAATTTTTTGCCTGACAGTTTACTTCCGGAAAAAATTGTCAGATGTAGACGTACCCTTTACATCGGCCACGATTTATGTCTGACATAAATATCATGGAATAACAGTCAGATGTAAATCTTAACACGTAAACGCCATGGTCGGTCGTTAACGGAATAAACTATTTTTAAGGGATTTCTTACAGAAATGTCCGGTTATTTCTTGACGTACCGAATGGATTGCGATTGAATTTATTTGAAAATACACAAACCGGGGCTATAGTTTTGGCCGGAATCGATATCGAGGGCGGAGCAAATTGTGGGTGTGGTCTGACCCACGGAGGAACCAATCCGGCCTCAACCACTCAAAGGCCATCTGCCTCCGTCTCAGCCACAGCTCATTCTCATCCGGCCCAATAAGAAATCCAAACGCGAAAAATAAATTAAGCTTTCCTCTTTTTTGAAAGTCCAATCTTCCTGTTAGAAAGGAAAAACTCGACTCAAGAATATTCTAGCAAGTTACTGGTCAAAAATATAAACTGCTTAAAAATCAATAGGGGTAGATGTAATTTATTATTATTCTATTAATTTTAATCAAATCAACCGATATATTCTTGTTAGTTGGATAAAGCAAAATAGAAAAAAAAATGTTAATCCTCATTTTCAATAACGGATTCACGTAAGAATAGTAAGCGTGAAGATTACTCATTTTGTAAACAAACTCCTTTTCTAGTCTTTCTTCCATTTTAATCTAGTTGTTTTCTCTTAAACCATGGAAAGACATCATCTTGAACCAGAAGTTTGCAATATTGTTGTGAGAATGAGTCATCTAGCTCACCGCAAAGCGGATATCGCAGAGGCAGTTGGCGTTTCTCAGAGATTCCGTGAGACTGGAAGTGCCAATAGGAGGCCTGGTAGTGGATCTCAGCGCACCACGGCGCTAACGGAGGACAGAAAAATTGTCATTGCTGCAAGACGGAACCCTTGGTATAAAATAAGCTCTAGAATCGAACCTCGAACTTCCTGGAGCTGATGAATCGCTTGAACAACAGTATGGAGCCGGTTTCGTAAAATTCTCAAAGTCAAAAAACGGTCATCCTGTGGTTCTGTTACCCTAGGGCCTCCAGAACCGGACCTTCTATGGTAGGACCCAGTTTCTCGAAAACTCTCGCAGAACTCTGATGGCAATAGCAAACCTGATGGAACGTCCATCATCAACAAGTGCCACACCATGCACAACATCCTCAGCACTAAGTTGTGTTTGAAATTAAAAAAACAAAAATGAAAATAGTTTATTTCTTCAGAATACAAATGAGACTAAATAAACATTTTAAATTTCGTAAAAAGTAAACATTGAAAAATCCTTTATCCTTGTTTTGGATTAAGAATTAAGTGTGTTTATCTCTAACTGATATTCCCCATTTAAAAGATAGCATAAAGAAATATTTATTGATATAAACGATGACACAAATTAAGGGCAGATTTTCTTTTGTCGAGAAAATGAAAAAAA